TTTAAAAAATACAATTTATCAAAATGTATGGGATACAGCAAAAGCAGTGGTTAGAGGGAGATTTATATACCAGCAATGAACAACTGGAATTTGAAATTAAAAATACAACACCACTTACAGGAGCACCAAAAAAAATGAGATACTTAGGCATAAATCTTATAAAATATGTACAGTATCTATATGAGAAACACTACAAAACCTTGAAGACAGAAATCAAAGAAGATCTAAGAATGATTAGACATCCATATGCATTTTATTTTATGCATATAAAAAATAAAATAAATAAGTCTAGACACAGATCTTATACATTTCACAAAAATTAACTCAAAATGGATCACAGACGTAAATGTAAAACACAAAACTATAAACTTCTAGAAGATGACAAGGGAGAAGATCTAGGTGAACTTAGGTTTGGTGATGACTTTTGGGGTACAATACCAAAAGCATGATCCATGAAAGAAAAAAATTGATTAAGTTGGACTTTTTAATTAAAAACCTCTACTCTGTGAAAGACTGTTAGGTGAATGAAAAGACAAGCCACAGACTGGGAGAAAATATTTGCAAAACACAATCTGATAAAGAGCTGGTATCCAAAATATACAAAGGACTATTAATACTCACCAATAAGAAAACAACCCAATTTCAAAATGGGCAAAAGATCTGAACAGATACCTTCTCAAAGAATACATACAGATGGCAATAAGCATATGAAAAGATGTTCAGCATCATAAGTCATTAGGGAATTGCGAATTAAAACAACGAGATGCCACTGCACACCTGTTAGAATGGCCAACATCCAGAACACTGACAGCACCAAAAGTTGGGTTGGGCTGGCGAGGCTGTGGAGCAACAGGAACTCTCATTCATCGCTGGTGGGAGTGCAAAATGGTCCAGCCACTGTGGAAGACAGTTTACAGTTTCTTAGAAAACTAAACATACTCTTACCATGGGATCCAGAGATCACACTCCTAGGTATTTACCCATATGAGGTGAACACTTACGTCCATACCAAAACCTGCACATGGATGCTTATAGCAGCTCCATTCATAATTGCCAAAACTTGGAAGCAATCAAGATGTCTTTCTGTAGGCGAATGGATAAATAAGCTGTGATACATCCAGACAATAGAATATTATTCTTCCCTAACAAGAAATGAGCTATCAAACCATGAAAAGACATGGAGGAACCTTAAATGCTATTGCTAAGTGAAAGAAACCAATGTGAAAAGGCCCCATACTGGATGATTCCAACTCTATGACATTCTGGAAAAGGCAAATCTATGGAGACAGTAAAAAGATCAGTGGTTGCCTAGGGTTAGGGGGTCGAGCTGATGAATAAATAGGTGGAGCCCAGGGAATTTTTAGGGTGGTGGAACTATTCTATATGATACTATAATGGGGGGTGCATGACATTATGCATTTGTCAAAACCCATACACTATACAACACAAAGAGTGAACCGTAATGTAAACTAATGTATGGACTTTGGCTAATAAAATATGTCATTTTGGCTCATCAATGATAGCAAATAAACCACAGTAATGCAAGATGTGAACAATAGAGGAAACTGGGAGGGAGATACCAGGGAACTGACGTGCAAACTGTCTACTATCCGCTTGATATTCCTGTAAGTCTAAAACTGTTCTAAAACATAAAGATTAGTATTTAATTTTTTTTCTAATATCTAGTTCAAGGGAGGCGTCAAAGTGAAGTGAGATTGTCAGAGAACGTGTCATGAAAGAAGTGAGGCTTTAGCTGGCTCCAAGCGGGTCCATAGGATTTCTAGAGTTGGAAAGGGCAAAGGGCATTTTAGCTGGGATTGAGGCATGAAAAAGATTCAAAGGGCTCAAATTTCGAAGGAGCAGGAAATAACACAGAATAAATCAATACAAAGACAACAGTCAACAATTTAATGGAAGCTAGGGGCCAAGGCAAGTCTAGAGGTGCTGAAGCATCATTCCAACATCGGATAAATATAAGCACGGGAACAGATTTGACCCAAGCTGCATCCTCAACACATATTCATTCATTTATTCATTCATTTCATAAATCAGTAGGCACCTGCTATGTTCCAAACACTGTGGTAGGCACTGGGGACAAGCAGTGAATAAAAGAAACAAAAATCTCTGTTCTCACTGAGCTTATATTCTAGTGATAGGAGACAGAACTTACCTGATGTTTTCAAGAAATAGCAAAGAAGCCAGTATGGCTGGAATGGAGTGAAGGGAGGAGGTAGAAGGTGAGATCAAGGAGATAACAGAGGCCAGTGGGTGAAGGGCACTGAGGCCAGAATTAATAAGGACTTTGGCCTTTACCCTGAGGCATTTAGGGTACAATTGGAAGGTTTTGAATAGCAGAGTGACTTGATTGACACCTGAATAGGGTCTGTCTCTGTGTTGAGAATAGACAGAGGATAAGAGTGGCTGCAGGGAAACCAGCGAAATTGTTACAATAATCCAGGTAAAAGAAGATAGGGACTTGGACCATGGTTTTAGCAGCACAAGTGGTGAGAAATAGATTGTGGACTCTGAAAGGATTTGTTGATGGATTCAACGTGTGAGAGAAAGAGAAGGTCAAAATGACCCAGTTTTAGGCCTGAGCAACCACCCTGAAGAAGGGGTTGCCAGTGAGAGAGAGAGAGAGAGAAGAATGTGGGAGGAACAAGCTGATGAGTGGGGCTGAGCCTGTGTCTGAATTCAGCTGAGCTGAGACTCAGAGTTAAGTGGGCAAAGACGAAATCATAGCACATACAGGTAGTGAGGATAGGCACGCATTCATTCATCCAACATTTCCTAAAATCAACCACTTTGAATGTGCCAGGGACACAAAGATAAATAAGACGTCTTTCCTGCCCGTAAGGAACTAACAGTCCAACGAGGAAAACAGAAATATAAATAAGTGATGCTAGTATATTAAGCATCATGGGTGACATATTCAACATTTACCAAGTCCCTGCTATATGCCAAGCAGTACGGTGAGGAAGCAGGAGGTGTGGACAAAGTTCTTTAAGAGCACAAAAGAAATTCTTGCAAAGGTTTGTAAAGACACTCACAAGGATTTTCACCACAGTGTGACACCAGGGAGTTGGCAGTAACCTAGACGCCCATCACTAGGGAAATCACAGCAATGTGGACATAGCTCAAGAACGCAGTGTTGAGTGAAAACAGTGGGAGGCAGAGATTTACAGCCCAGCACCATCTTTGTAAATGTAAAAGGCGTACACAGAACACCGCATGTCTTAAATGATCAAGGATCTATAGCAAACATATTGCAGCTTGTGTCTAGAAGAAGAATGAGAGTGGGTATTGAGAAAGATGAGGACAAATAATTTAAACAATGTAAAATAATATAAATAAGAGAGGGGCCTTGCAGGGACTGGTGATGACAATGTGCTGAGAATTGAGGAGCAAAGTTAACTCTCTGCACCTGAGATACAAATAACAAGCTAATGGGAATCCAGCCAATAACCCTAATGAGAAGAATATTCCAGGGGGCCAAGAAGCATGGGGAGACATGAAGGCATGAAAGTGCATCAGCGGTTCAGGGAACACCACCAGGTTTAGTGCAGCTTGTAGTGGTTATGAAGAGCTGGTACTATTTGAATATTTGAACAACACCCTACACGTGGAAGGTATAACCATTCTAATCAATCTGTCCCCCTTTACTACACTGGGGTTAAAGCTCATGCTCTGCTCTGTTTCCATGCAGCCAACTGGTGAGATTCTCTTTCAGCCTCATTGGAATCTTTGCATCTTGTGACTACTCCAGAAACCCTAGTTCAATAGATCATCCCTGTTTACCATGGCCTCAAGGAATGTGGCCCTTGATCTGAGGCTTTCATGCTGGAGTTCCACCAGCAGCAATGCTGCTGCTCTGGCTAGGAGTGGGGTGGGAAGGGAACTGGAGGCCCAAGGATGCCTCGCATTCTGGGGCACCTGCCTGGGGCGGTTCAACCCGCCTCCACCAGCTCTGTTGGTCACATTCCAGCTGGAGTCATTTCCCAGCTCTGACCTATGTCTCAGTAGCACTCAGCACGGTGTCTGGCATATAGTAGGGGCTCAATAAACTTCTCAGTTGAATACAAGCCTTCCAAAGGAAACCTAGGTCAAGGTGGATACAAGCAGGACGCAGAAGCAGGAATGAGAAAGAACTGGGGTTTGCTGTACTATGGAGGGTAAAGGGAAAGAGCTGCAAGAAAACAGGTGCACAGGCCCTTGTAGACAAGTCGCCTCTGGTGCACGGTGGGCATACAGTAGGCGTGAAATAGTAGGGAAATAAACTGTAAAGAAATTAACAAGTGTTTAACACATTTTCTTTTTTACGTATGTCAAGTAAAAGTATGAAGCTGAATCGAGAAAAGGGAAGTATGTGGGTCAGTGCTGGGTCTGTGGAAGGACTAACACTTCCAGAGGTCCTGACACACTCCACTGCCCCTCCGAGGACACAGAATGCATCCACAGGACGGCCCAAAATCTCTTGGGGAAGAGAGGGCGTTACTCTCACCTTCAGCCTCTAAGGGTCACCCAAGCCTGAGTCACCGCGGTTGCCACTGTCACTAGTTCAAAGTCTTCTTCAATCTAATTCTTCACCTTCATTCTTGTCCCCCACTCCACCTCCAGCTCAATTAGGCTCTGCCCCACTTTAAATAAAAAAAAAACAAAAACACCTCCAACCTAAGCCAGCCCGGACTTGGATAAGTGAACACACTAGTTTGCTACGGGAGGCCCTTTCCCACGCCTCGGCTTGCCCCCGCTAAAGGAACGGGCGCTCTGGTCCTCGCCAGGCGACGCGAAGCGGTGCGACCTGTCTCCGCCCTTCCCGCCTTCCCGCCCGCCGCCGAGCCCGCGCACGCCGAGCCCGCGCGCCTTACGTTCGGCCCGCCCCCGGTCCTTCCCCAGCAGCGCGCAGGCGCGCGCTTCTGGGCCCGCGAGGGGAAGGAGGGCGGGGCCGAGGGGCCGAACCCTGGGGGAAGAGGCGGCGTCGGTCATGTGATGCGGTTTCACTGTTTACACGCGGAGCGGCCGGAGCTTTCGGCCTCAGTCAGGCGCTCAGCTCCGTTTCGGTTTCACTTCCGGTGAGGGGCCGCCTCAGAGCGGGTGGTTAGCCGACGGCGAGCGCAGGCGGCGGCGGTGACTGCGGCGCCGCTGCCGGGGGGCGTGCAGCAGCGCGGCGGCAGCGGCGGCTGGGCCTCGAGCGCCCGCAGCCCACCTCTCAGGGGCGGGCTCCCGGAGCGAGCAGGGCGGACGAGAAGATGGAGGAGCTGGTGGTGGAAGTGCGGGGCTCCAATGGCGCTTTCTACAAGGTACTTGACTCCAGGGCAGGCCCCATCTTCGCCCTTCTTTCCCTCCCTTTTCTTCTTAGCCTCGGCCGGAGGCAGGCCTGGGGCCCTCTTCCCAAACGCCGCGCCCGGGGCCAGGGCGCGCTCGGCGGGATGTTGTTTGGGAGGGAAGGAAGGACCGGACTTCGGGCCTGTAGGAAGCCCCTTGAGCCCCGCTGCCTCTCCTGTATGAGGCCCCGGCGCCTGTCGGAATGAGAAGCGGGCAAGGAAAAGAGGGTGCCCTTTCAGGGACCGAGCCCCGGCAGGGAGAGCTGGGGATGGGCGAGGGCCGACGGCAGGTAGGAGATACGGGCGGGAAGGGCCGGTATCCGCGCGAAGTGACGGTGACGGCTTATTTCTGTTTTCTTAAATATCCTCTCCCAGTGGGATCCGGGCCTGACGTGTGGGTAGTTGCCGAGGAGCGGGGGGCGCTTCCGTCAAGCCGCCTCCTGCCTTGCAAAGAGGGTTTGCCATCTCCTTTGGCTTCTCTTTTCCTGTCCAGCATTGGGACTTCGGAGAGCTCCACTGTTCTGGGCGAGCGGTGTGAAGAAAGAGTAGTAAGAAGCTGTAGTCGGTACCAAATCACAATGGCAACTGATTATTAGTGACCTTTCTTTGTGGATTTCAGAAAAGATTTTAGATTCAAAAGTTTCAGGAAGACCCAGACATATCCGAGTAATGGTTTAAAGAAGTTGGTAATCTTGAATATTCGTGGCCCCTCCTCCCTTGTTATAAATGTGGGCAAATTCAGGAATACAGATGCTTCAGCGTCTAAAAACATTGGCAGCTCTGCTACTTAAGAAAAAAAATTAACCCTCCAAGGGCCTGGATATACGCCATGAAACTTCAGGAAATTATCATTATTGGGGAATTTTTTTAAGTGAGTGGAAATAATTGTTCTGTGCTCCACGGGCTTGACTATCTCCTCTGTGTAATGTTGCAGTGAACTGTATTGTTGAGGTTTTAAATAGGCATGCATGGTTTTCCTGCGGGCTTTTCTTTTTTTAAGTTACACCATTGCAGATCTTACTAATATCTTACATTTTCAAAAGGAGGCTTAAAAATATTTTCATATGTCGGTAGTGCGTCTCTTGGTCCATACTTGCTGTAGATCTAGCAGTCTATAAGTTCTCATTTCCTCTTGAATGTCTCTCTATAACTTCTGTAAGTAATGTCCCACCTTACTACAGTATCTTGGCGACAGAAGGTGCATATAGAAGGAAGCATGGGAATTAAATATTGCCATTGTCCAAGTGCAATTCTTAAATCTATATAGGATTACATAAACGTTTCAAACGAGGTATATAGGAAAATAAACATTGACTTAACTATATATGTGTTTACCAATTTTATGGAGATATTTGGAGATCAATATATTTAATGAGTGAGTAAAGTATGTAAACTGTTCCATACTTGTAGCAAAATGATGCAGTCAAAATTCTGGTTGCATTTTTTTCAGTGATCCATAATTCTGCTGGTTAGTTTGTGTAGAATCGTTCTGCTTCCTAGATTGGTAGTTTTACTCACTAGATTTGGGGCACTAACTGTAATAAATATGAGCAGGGGCTAATGGTTGAGCGGTATTCTAATAGATCTGTGATATTAGCTTAGATTAGATGCCACTCTTACTGTCTTTTAGTGGAGTTTGCTTGCTACAGAGGGCAAGTAGTACATCGTGGTCTTGAAGGATATATTGTTCTGTTCGAGCAACCTGTGATTTGCTTCTGTGATTTTGCTTGCAAACTGATTGGAATATAAGAAAGACCCTCTATCTCTGCTCTTAATCTCCCCCTATTTTTGTTTTTTTAACGAAGTTGCTTAATTTGAAGGTGAATAAAAGGAATGGGTTGTCCCTTAGTTCCTTGAGGGGAAATATTAAACATGAACAAACCTGTGCAGAATTGCTGTTATGTTTATTTAGTTAAGGTTTTGTTTTTAAGAAAACCTCAAATGGTCTGTATTGGTAGAAAAATAGTTTCTATAATGAAAAGGTTTAAATTCTTATAAGGCTCAATATTGATGTGAGTTATAAAAGTAAAGCAAAAGTAAACTGAGTTGCTTGTCCAGTGGGATGGGCAGAAAAGATGGGAAATAAAGATGAATAAAAAATGAACTATTATGGAGAAATGTTACATTTATGAAAAAATTGGGAACCTGGGTTCATCGGATTGATTGAAAAGGCTTAAAGAACTAGACAACTCAAACAGCTTCAGTATAATTGAATTCAGACTTTGATTTGCCTAACAGAACCACCATATTGTAAGGTACAGTTCTCCATCTTCTGAGCACATGGTCCAAATTTGCAGTATAAACTGGGTAGAGTATGTGCTGGGAACAGTTGGGTTTTTTCCTCTAAAAAATTAACTCAAACTTAGGATTCAGAATTACCAGAACCATGAAACCTAAACCCTAAGATTGTAGCAGCTCATTTCTATTTTTCCCTCTGGTGTTTATTCTTAAAAACTCGAAAGTTGGATTTAGTAACTGTCAGAGCCACTACTTTTGTGCTTAGGTATTTCTTTGACTTAGAAAAAGTCATGTAATGAAAATTTTCTTCACATTTTCTCTGAAGTCTTCTGTACTTCAAGGAAGTAAATTGTTCAGGTCAACCACATGTTTTTTTCTTCCCAGTCTAAATAACCTTTTTAGTGTTTAGTATCTTTATGGAAGCATCAGTACTCCCCTTTTGAGTTGAGCATTTTCCAACTTCATACTCACACACTCTGAAAGCCTCCAAATTATTCATTAAATGTAAAATTCAGTGGTATAAGAATTGGCTTTCTGATTCCTGCCCACTATGGGAATGTGCTTCCTGAGATGACTACAATCGTGCTTTTAACTGTTAACAGGTGCTGAGAGCTCTTGAGGTGCCAGGCAGGGTTCTAGGTGCTTTACCTCTCTTAATTTGTTTAATCACCTCCCACAACCCTGAGTTACCATTGTTATTTCCAGTTTATAGATGAGGACATAGATGTACAGATAGATGAGGTAAGTGAGTTATTACTAAGTGTCAGAGCTAGTAAGGGTCAGATCTGGGCTTTGAGATCAGGTAATCTGACTTCCTGAAATGATGAAATTTAGCTTAAAGAAATGAATTGGATTGGATTTCCTGCCCATTTTTGTAAATTTCATTGTAACTTTGTATTTGTTACTGTAATAATGCCTTAGCATTATTTTGTAAGTACAGTTGCAAGGATATTACCATTGACACAAAGACATCACAAAATATTGAGCTTATGTATTAGCTTCCTTTTTATTAACTCTTGCACCTTGACACATTACACTGTAATTCTTCATATGAATGCCTATTAATGAAAGATAAAGTTAGAAATCTTTAATGCTCCTATGAGGTTTGCTTTTGTTACATTGGGAACACATAAGAACTGAAGCATTCAAAAGTTAGAATACATACACACAGGAAAATTAATAACTCATTTAATACTATTCTCTCTATACCTGTGTGTTGTCTTTGCGTCAAGGTGAACCAGAAAGGATGCAATTTTCTCAGAATTTGTGGTAAATGCCCAAGTGAAGGCGAGTATTCCTAGTCATGCACTGTGGTTGGAAGAATTGTTGATGAGGTTTATTGTACTTTTCCCTTCCCATTGTTCATTCTCATACATTGTTAGTTCCCACATTCAAAGGGCGGCAAAGCAATAACTTGCTTTATATGTGAAGCCTTGGGTTTGAATCGTATTTTATCACATTTCATATGTCCTTATTGTCTATCTCCTACAGATTTTCTTTAGGAGGGATATTTTGCAATGCTTTTAAGTTTTCTCTAATGAGAATTATCAATGCACTACATGTGCTGTCTTCAGTGATAATGTAGTAGTTGTGTTCATCGGTGGTCAGGGGCTTACATTGAAATTTCTCTGTACAATCTAGGGTGTGAGGTGTAGTGGGAGAGTAAGACTTCACCCAAATAGGGACAGACTTTCTTTTAGTTTCAGCAATCCCGGTGATGTAATGTTTGACTTAGATATCTCTAGTCATTACACACTTTGGTTGGTATGATTTTATGATTGCCTCTTTGGCCCAGTTGCCAGGTGGGGGATCCCATAATGATTTTTTGATTTTCTGTTTATTCCCCCTGATAAGGAGCCTGTGTCTGTCTTTTTTTTCTTTCTTTTTTTCATTTATTTATTTATTTTTGGTGTGTTGGGTCTTTGTTGCTGCACACGGGCTTTCTCTACTCTTCATTGCTGTGTGTGGGCTTCTCATTGCGGTGGCTTCTCTTGTTGGGGAGCACGGGCTCTAGGCATGTGGGCTTCAGTAGTTGTGGCACATGGGCTCAGCATTTGTGGTTCGTGGGCTCTAGAATGCAGGCTCAGTAGTTGTGGTGCACAGGCTTAGTTGCTCCACGGCATGTGGGATCTTCCCAGACCAGGGATTGAACCTGTGTCCCCTGCATTGGCAGGCGGATTCTTAACCACTGCCCCACCAGGGAAGTCCCACTGTGTCTGTCTTTAACTGCACTTTTAGCGCCTTTCTCAAACCCCAAAGATTTTCATCACTTTTTCTTCTGAAAGTCTAAATAATCTTTTAGTATTTAGTATCTTTGAGAAAACAGCCTTTTCTCTTTCTATCCTAATTTTTAAATCTTTTTTAAGTGTGCTTTTGTTGAGATGTAACTTTCTCAGATGCAAGAGTGTTTATGGTTCTGCATCTTTTATAAAATATGCCCCTCTCTGCTTTACCTCTCATTTATTTAGTGCCAACCATCGTGCTAGGCACTAGACATGTGTGATTTCATTATTCACAACAGCTTTAGGAGGCAAGTCCAGTTCCCCTGTATCCATTCCTTACTTACACAGACAAGGCATCTGAGGCCCAGAGACCATTTCTTGGAGAGCCCCACAGCTGTTATGTCTTAGATCCAAGATTTTGAACCTATCTCTCATTCACAGCAAAACTCTTAACCACTAAGTTTACTGACTCTTGTAAGAGCCCTAGCTCTCATCCAGTCCCATGCAGCTCCCTTCTTGTATTCATTCAAACCCATTCAGTTGCCTTCTTTGGTAACCAACCCCTCAGGAATCCGCTGAACCTATCTTCTCATCAACTTTGCTTGATGTAGATAGGTAGAGAGCACAACAAAACATAGTTTTCCCAGTTGTTGGTGTGTGGGGTGATAATGCTCTGGGGTGGCCAGGGAAGGGAAGGGTATGAGTGTTGGGGTAAGGCAGGGGCAGGGCCGAAAAGGAGGGTTATTGGAGAAAGTATGATGAGAAGCAGAAAGATGGGACCTTTGTTGGAATTTTAGCAAAAGGCCTCAGGAGTCAGAGGAGACCTTTGCAACCTCTGAGTTTCTTTTATTCCCCTTATTACAGCAGCAACAAGAAGGTATTCCATGCCTTCTGTATTCACATAATATGCAAACAGTGGCTAAAAATGACTGGTTTGGGAACAGTCACGCCAACATCCATATACAGGTAAGCCTCATTAACTCGAGGCAGTGGCCGCCGTAAGCTGTGATGAGTACTCAAACCATTTTTGACACTCTACATCCGGAATTGCTTTTAGTGTCTTTGAAAACTTGGAAGCTTTTTTTTTTGTTTTTTGTTTTTTTTTGGTTTTTAATAGTCACACAGTTGCAGATCTTCCTCCTTTGAAGGGACGTTTAATTTTAGGAAATAGGTAAATGTGGTGAATGAGTGTGATTAAACTGTACAATAACTTTTTGGCAAATAGAAAAAAATTAAAATAGAGCAGTTAAGTAATGAGACTAACTTTTAGAGTGCTTTCAAGGTGGATTTGAAAACAGTCCCCAACATTTGTAAATGTTTTAAATCAGTGCTATCCAGTGGAACTTTCTGTGATGATGGAAGTGGTCTCTACCTGCGCTGTCCTCTACAGTAGGTACTGAGCCCTGTGTGGCTTTTGAGCACTTGAAGTGTGGCAAGTGTGACTCAGACTGATTTTTAATTTTATTTAATTGTACTTAATTAAATCAAAATATGTACATATGACCAGCAGCTTCTATGGTGAGCAACAGCACGGTTTTAGACAAGGGCAGTAGTATTGGAAAGGTACCTGATTTAGTGAGAACAGTTCTTCACCCAGCTGTAACAAGGTTCTCTTAGCTGACTAAAGGACTTAACATTTTCAGCATATAATATACAGTAAAGAACTAATACTAGTTACTGCCAAGGCATGCAAACATAAAATTTTAGACAAGGATGGAGACAGAGCAAAGACATTTTTTGGTAAATAAGGGATTAGCTCCTAATAGGAGTCCCACCCTCAAAAAGCAGGTTGTTAATTTGGTCTTCGCCATCATGTAAACACAAGGGAGAAGTTGGGGTGGGGGAGTCTGTTTTTCCTTTCTCCGTAATTTGTGGGACTTACTTTATAGAACTAAACGTCGAATTCCTCCAACTTTAACTCAAAATCAAGCCTTTCTGTTGCTGAAGTAATAGGCAAACCCCTGAGAGCACTGGGGGCATGCGCCCTTATAAAATCTAGTATATTCTAAAATATCATGGTCAGTATTAAACTAGAGTTCTTGAAATACTCTGAAGAGAATGGGTGTGATTTAAATATGGCTAAGGAAAAATAAGCAAGATCAAAATGATAGGAAGAAAATGTGGATCCCCCCCACTTTAAACCAGCAACTATAAAGATACACATACACGCTTAATTTAGAAATAATAATTTAGCCATTTTGAGTATCGCAGAACACCTAGATTCCATTATAGTCCACCTTGATCTTACAAGGAAACTGTCTTCTAGCATAGCTTTGCATTTATTCTTTTGCATGTGGATATCCAGTTGTCCCAGCTCCATTTGTTGAAAACAGTGTTCTTTTTTCCCCATTGAATTGTCTTGGCTTCCTTGTCCACAAAGGATTTACTTCTACCGCACCCCAAGCTGTTGCTCCAGGTCTAAGCCTTTGCTCCTGCTGCCCATTAGGCCTGCTGGGCCTCCCCATCCTCCACTCCCTAAGTTGGATAGGAACCTCGTCCTCTTCTGTTTGTCTTTCCTGACCAACATACTACCACCCCACCACCCACATACCTTTCCTCCGAGGCTAGGATAGGAACCCCTTAGGCAATGATCCATGATAATAACTATTCATTGAACCCTTAACAGGTACTCTGAAGTTCAACAGTAAATAAAAGGCCTATATCGCCCACCCTCAGGAAGCTTACTGTTGGTAGGAAAATGGGCAAAAGACTATAGTGGGATAAGTTTATAGTGAGGATACTCAGAAGATGCTATAAGAATGTAGAGGATAGAATTTAACTTAGTCTTCTGGGTTTTCCCATAGCAGCTGACATCTGAACTGAATTGTAAAAGACCAGTAGGAGATAGCTAGGTGAAAATAGGGGAAGGACAATAGGAAAGAAGGAACAGCAGCATGTACAGAGAGGCCCAAGTAGTTTAGCACTGCTGGATCACAGCCTGCAAGGATGTGAAAGATGAAGCTTGGAGTGGTGAGCAGTGGGGCCAGGTCACAAAGGGCCTTTTTCAGGCAGAGGAGTTTGACCATAATCTTGCAGACAGGGAGAAACCACGGAAGGACAGAAACATGTACAGAACACATTGGAGTAAGAAGCTTAAATCTCTAAAGCCATTTTAAAATGAATTAAGATATAAAGCCCCTTGGGTTTCTTTATGCTTTATCCTACTCCTCTAATTGTCAAAACAAAAACAAAACCTCCTTTCCTGCACCTATTAAAAACTTAATTTTATAGAATTATGGACAGCATGCTGATTAAAGAATTCTTGATAATTAGTTAGCTATTACTTTTGTTATGTCCTTCTGCAGATTATTAGCAATTGCGTCATCAGATTTAAAAGATTTAAACCTCTGTACTTTATATTACTATTTCTTTTTTGCCAAGTGCCTGCGAGATTGAGAATTTAATTAAACTCTGGTAATTGGACTTTTAGTGGTATTAGCAGCACATTGCTTTTAAAGAGAACTTAGTGTACTTGTGCATATATAGATTTGAAGTTATATTTAGTTATTTACTATTGTATTCTCCTAAAATTGTATTAAGGAGAAAAAGATAGGTTACAACAGATCTACACTGACTGGTATATAGCTCTGGAACAAGTTTCTTAGTTTCCGGTACTTCTAGCCTGAAGTATACCTTCAGCTTTGCATTGTAATTTTCAATTTACTTGTCTGTCTTTGTCCTATGAGATGCTGAACTCTGGAGCAATTCTTTGTGTTTTATTTTAACTAATGAGTATTCCTAGGGCCTAGCACATAGTAGGTATCTAAATATAGATGTGATTCATGAATGAGTGATCCTCACAAACTGACAAACTTTCACTTGAAGCTTCATTCTGTTGTTAAACATAAAATGTTTGGTATCTGTAAAGTGTAACTGAAAACAAAAATGATGTTTAAGCTTAGAAGTTAATTTAACTGTGGTGGTTTTTTTTCTTATAGGCATTTGTAAAAGATGTTCATGAAGATTCAATAACAGTGGCATTTGAAAACAAGTAAGTGTCCTGATATAATTTTAATATTTAGGTTCTTTAATATTTTATGCTAATTTTTCCTTTTACTCCTCATTTTAAAAAATTCAAGTGTAGTTTGAGTGTTTTTCAGGAATGGATCTTCGTGTTACTGACCAGGAAGTTCGTGAACAACTCAATATTAAACCAATGGAATGACTGTTCCTGCTAATGACCTCCGAGATTCCTTTTGTATAATCTTGATCCTTACACCTCAGTCCCCTTGAATGTGGAGAAAGAAACCAGATTCTTCTGTATTAGTAACTGAGGGTTTGAATAGGAATATTTGTAAATGTTAAAAGATGAAAATGAATGGATTCACGGGTACTGGGAAAGTCGATGTGAGTTTTGTAATGTTAAATCTAAAATTGATGGTTTTAGTCATCTGGTATATTTTATTGGAAATAATTGTGTTTGCCCATTAACATTTTTATCTGTTTCATATGTTTATAATCATTAATAGCAGTAACTGATCGTTTCTGCTTTCTTCTGCTAGGTGAATAAATAAAAATACTTAGAGGCCTAGGAACATTAGCTATACAAAGGCATCAATAGTATAGATGTTAGCATTTTATTGGGGGAGACAGGTCTCTTGACTGAATTTTTTAATGCTAATAACGGCTATTTTCAGAGTAGCCATTCAAGAATATAAAGTACATATAAACTCCTTAACCAGAGTATAGATGTGGTCATGATCTTAGGATTTTACTGAAGTCTGAAGTCTGGCCAACAATTATAATGTTTGGCTTTTATTTACCAAGAGAAATTAATAGTGTATCAAAAGCAGATTGCAAGTCTACAGAGAGAAGAAATAAATTAGTGGTTGCTTAGTGGCTGGTGGGGGATGGAGAGCCATAGCTAAAGAGTATGGGATTTCTTTTTGAAGTGATGAAAATTTTCTAAAATTGACTGGTAATGGTTGCACATATCTGGGAATATACTTAAACCCATTGACTTGTACATACACTTCAGTGGATGCTTATATGGTTATGTGAATTATATCTCAATAAATCTGTTAAAATACAGTATCTGACCCAGACGTGCTATAATTAGAATGTTAGCAGAATCTTGTAGCTGCCAACAGGGCAAAGTACAGTTGACCCTTGAACAACATGAGTTTGAACTGTGTAGGACCACTTATATGTGGATTTTTTTCAGTAGTAAATACTACAGTAGTGCACGATCCAGGGTTGGTTAAATCCGTGATGCAAACCACAGATATGGAGGAACTGTGGCTACGGAGAGCTGACTATAAGTTATCTGTGCATTTTTGACTGCACAGAGGGTCAGCATCCCTAACCTCTGAGTTATTCAAGGGTCAACTGTAGTTTTCTCGGATGCCTAAAACGCATTTAGGGAGATAGATAAAAGGATTTAGAGTATCCAGCCCAATTCTCAGCTCTAGACAAATAGTCTTGGTCCCAAATACAAGTTTGGATAATAGAATACCTTTCTCTGAATACATAGAGCCAAAAGTTCCAGAATGTGCCTCTGCGTGATTATCCATGCATTATACACTAGATAACAGCATCACACCTCTAACAGAGGAATCTTTGATAACTGGGAGAGTAATTTTTTGTCTTGTACTTATACTCTTATCTGCTTGCTTCCATCACTAGGTAAACACTGTTTCCCATAAAGGGAGAGTTATCTTTATTTGCTACTCTTTTAGTTTCTCCTATAGTCCTTAATCTAAGGTATTAAGCAAACACTTATTTCCTCTGTGCATTCAAGAATGTATCTGTATTTGTTTATACAGTGATAGATCAGTTCTCATTTGTTTTCAACCAGATTTTTACTATAAACTTAAAATTATTCTTTCTATGGACCTCCTAATTGTCTGCTGTACCGTAGCTGTGTACAAGTTTCTCTTCTAGCTGTCATCCTGGGAATTTGAAATAGATCAACTTTTTCCTTGTGTTTGTGTAGTATGTATGAGATTCAACACTGGGTTTGAGCATGTCACCAGGATTTGATAGGTCCCTACCAAAGTAGTACTTTCCTTGCGTTTCCTTTTTGTTTTTCTGGTTTTTTAAAACAAACAAAAAACAAACCTGATGTTTTGTAAAACTTCAGACTATATTTACCCTTTCTTTCCTTTCAATCATAAAGAAACTCCTATAATACCACATTATTTTAGATGCTTTCTTTTTGCCTTCCATATTTCGTATTTTTTGAATAAAAAATTCGATTTTTGTCTCTATACTTAAGACAAAATAATTCTTTGGAATGAAGAAACTTTATTATTATATGCTTTACAAATCAAATTTAGCAATGAATCTTTAACATGTTAAGTCATTGAATTTAGTAAGTATATTAAAAAGTTTTTCTGAAGTAAAGACTTTTGTTGGTTTGTTTGGCCACGTTGCACAGCTTGTGGGATCTTAGTTCCCTGACCAGGGATTGAACTTGGGGCCCTGGCAGTGAGAGCACCGAGTCCTAACCACTGGACCACCAGGGAATTCCCTAAAGACAATTTTTTTTACGTTTCAGAGTTTTCAAGGGTGTATAATAATACAGAAAAGGGGTTCAGTGTAACATAGGCCCTAATCATATTTCCACAAATTCTGACTTACCTACCCTGCTATCTTATATAATAGCTCTTCTTAAAAAAAGAAAAAAGCAGTTTTCTCAGTAGGATTTTATTTAGAGAGCCCTTTAGCAGAAAACCCAGAAATGACTGCTCTAGCAGTTGAATCCTCCAGTGTTTCTGCAAAGTTTATCTTTTAATATTCTATATCATTGTAGATATAAAAGAATAATTTGGTGTTTTTCAAAATTGTTCCACGTAACTTTAAATTAAAAAACATAGGCAACTTACTGAACTCCTATAGGCTGTCTCCATCGGGTTTCTGTGGTTTAGGAGACCCCACCAGGCCAGTGCATTGCTGGTACGTCATACTGATCAGCAGCCATCTATCCATGGCAAGAACTGACCACCTCGCGGGATCTAAAATTTAAAGGGGGAAAAGTGAGTTGTGAATTGCTAATGTGCTGACTGCCCCATTTTGCTTGGGAATTAGAGGGCATTTAGGACCAGTTTCTGTGGTCATCGGAATGTGGTTACAATTCCTTTGCAAGTGGAAGTATGGTGATGACGTTACTAACACTTACTGATACTAACGTATTTAAGCATCAAAGGAAATTGCTGTTGTGGCCCTAAGTTTAGAACTCTTAGAGGTTGAAATTATTGGAAGAAAGACTTGTTTGGAAAATTGTAATGTTGATCTATTGTGTTTAGAGAAATATTCCAACTAGAACTACAAGGCTGCTGTGCTGCATGCAGAGTTGTTGAAATGTGTCTATATTGCCATTATGCCCCACTCGGCAGAACACTGACAGTTTTAAAGCATTTGCTTCTTTAAACTAGAAAACCAAAGGGTCACACTTAACCAAAAGTTGATGGCAGCATGGTCATTGTTTCCATTAAACCAAAAAACATGTTAAATAATTGCATTTGCTTATTTGCAGCTGGCAGCCAGAGAGGCAGATTCCATTCCATGATGTGAGATTCCCACCACCTGTAGGTTATAATAAAGATATAAATGAAAGCGATGAAGTTGAGGTAAGTTTCCCCTGCCATCAAGTTATTAAGCACTGAAGAAGGGGGAGCATTTAATTTGCCTGTGCCTTTTGTATCCCTTGTCTTTAACACTTTTCAGTCTGCATTGAGAATTATAGCTCGGATGTATATGTGCTTTTGACTGCTCCATCTTAATAATGATTGGAAGTAATACATTATGGATGCTTAAGTGTGGCTGCCTGAGCAGCACTCAGGGTGCAGCTTTGAAAGTCACCACTGATTTCCTTTGCCCACTAGTATTTCTTTCCCCCCTTCCCTCATTCTCTGAATCTTTTGTTTGAATAATATATTGTTAGCTTACAACTGTGTCCCCATTCTAAGTAAAATGGGTTAGGAAAAAATCATTCCTTAACGATAGAGCAGCATCCTAGGCTTGCTTTAAGTAGCAGAAAATCTTCCTGGGATATTTGTAAAAACTCATCTGCGAGTTTTAGTCTATACACATACAGGTAAAACATCTTTTCACAGGAGATGCTATGAACCAACTGCTTATGTGCCATTGATGTCTGACCAAAAAGTGCTATGGAGATGTAGCACATTGACAAAAACATTATATTTGTGATTTCTCTAGCCGCTGAAGACTGTTGTGACACTTAAGGCACTTGGGGTCTGCTTTATGTTGTAGTTGGTCTATATAGTATCCTTTTCTTCCTCCCTGTTCGTGTACTCCATTTTAAGCTTCTTCTCTTCTCCACGATGCCTTGTTAACAGTTGAATTTCATGAGCATTTGTGGTATGATGGAAGCAGCTAAGAATCCATTTGTACAGGTCAGGTAAGGTGTACTAGGTCCTTGAATTCTTATTTTCTGTGCTAGGTACAGATGGTCAGTGAAACAGAAGAGGCCCCAGCCTTGACAAGGTCACATTCTAGTGAGGATAGCTAATATTATGGCAGTTGTAAGTCCTAGGAAGAGAAAAAGAGGATGAAAGGTGATGTAGGGGCAGGAGTGCTATTTTAGAGAGTGCTGAGAGAAGGTCTCTGGATGTCCAGGCCTGTGTTCTTTTCTCTACAGCTTTATAGTGGAAATAGAATAAAGTGCTATTTATTTACCAAAAATATACTCAGTACTTACTAGGTGAAAGGAACTGGGCTTGGTTTTGTGACGGATCCCAGTAGGGAGCACAAACAGTGTCTGTACTTGAGGACCTTTAGCTGTTCACTTCCCCAGGAGACTACGCGCTTCCTGAAGTCAAGGACCAGGACTTTTGGTCTGTCTATATCAGAAGGCCTCATAATAGTGTTTGGATGGATAAAGGGGACTGTTTTTTCTTTTTTTCCCCTCTCAACTGAGTCACATGACAGGTGGTAACCAGTGAGATGCTGTTGCTACAGTGACCTCACTAACTGAGGTTGTCGCTCTAGCTAGCGCAGAGCTGAAAGGAATTGATGGTCTCAAGAGAGAAATGTAGGTTAAATCAAGTTGTACTGAGTCACTGTATTGTATAACCATTAACTTAGGTCTTTTGGTCTGTCTGTACCACAAACGCTCATAATAGTGATGAATAGAGGGGACTTTTTTCCCAACTTAGTCACACAACAGATGGGAACCAATGAACCACAGTTGCCAGGATGACCTCATTGTGTTACATAACAATTAACAAATAACTGAGGTTATTTCTCTGGCTAGAGCAGAGGTGAGAGGAAGTGTTGGGGGCAAGAGGGAAAGGAGGTTGAGTTCAGTTGTATTTCATCTTTGTGTTGTGTAACTATTAACTTCAGTAGTAAAAGGGAGATGAGAGTCGGAGCCTTGAGTTGCCGGTCTTCTCTCCTTTCCTCTCCTCCCCATCCTCCTCGTCCTCCCTGTGTTGTCTTTCTGCTTCTGAGTATTTCTGTCTCTCTCCATGTGTCTCTTTTCCTATTAACCTTGATTTGCTAGTGTCTTCACAAAAGGTTCCGTGCTGCACATCATAAGTGAACTGTGAAGTGGTCGCCAGAGAGATCAGTTTAGAAGAACTGATCCACAGTGTGTGAGAGCAGGAACGTGGTATCCAGAGGATTGCCAGCGTGGAGTTGTCCATTTTAGTGGAGAGGGGACAGGAGACCAGAGAGTGACCGAGGATCTGTCCGTTTAGTTCCCAGGATACGTGAATGCCAGGTGGTATCCTTAGTGAGCTGAGTAGTCAGCGGCCTTACCCATTCAGTGACCATGCAGCCAGGAAGTAGGCCAGGGTCAGTAACTTCCAATTTGTTATTTGCTTATTAGAGTAAAACAAAAACAAATCTGTCTTTACATTTTTTAGATACATTTTCATAGCTCTCAAAGTACCCAAGGAAAGTATGCCCAGGTTTATGAATGGTCATCTTTTCTTGAGCATTCATATTCAGATTACTGATTATTACTGAGGCAGCATAGAGAAATAGGAAAGCACTTTTTACAGGACTCTCCCAGGTAATCAGGTAGTTTCTGAGTGTGTGTCTATGTCTAGAAGTAGGGGTGCAATCTGGCTTAAAGTCTACAGCTTACGGGCTTGAAAGACACCTAAGGTCATTTTAAGAAATTTTCCTTGATGTCTGATAATTTATAGATTTCTGAATGATGTTAATCATGAAATATTCTATGTTGTAATTTTTGTGTAGGTTTATTCCAGAGCAAATGAAAAAGAGCCTTGCTGTTGGTGGTTAGCTAAAGTGAGGATGATAAAGGGTGAGGTAGGAAAATGCCTATTTAAATTTTTTTTCTTATGCGATTTCCCTTTTCTAAAGCCAGGTATACTACATTTCAGTCTGGATTTCTGTTTTAAAGTAATATCTAACTTGAACATTTTATTTAAATGTTTACATGTTCAGTATATTTCGTGTGTTTGTTAGTTGATCAAATAGTTTTTTTTCCTCTAGAGAATTGAAAAACAACTGAATAGGTATAGCTTCTTGTTCTTACTTTAAACACTGTGACCAGGAATGACTTTCATTTATTTCTCACAGTTTTATGTGATAGAATATGCAGCATGTGATGCTACATACAATGAAATTGTCACAATTGAACGTTTACGATCAGTTAATCCCAACAAACCTGCCACAAAAGATACTTTCCATAAAATCAAACTGGACGTGCCAGAAGACTTACGACAAATGTAAGTTGGTATGCAAGAAAAGGCTGAGAACTTAGAGGTGCTATGCAATTAATTTAAAAGAATATAAGTTTTCAAATAATAGAAATCAATTTTTAAATTCAGTGAACTTTGGCAAAAATGGTTTGCAAAAGTAGTGAAAAAAAACATGTTTAGCTTTTTCCAGTTATATAATCAAGCCAACATTCCACTTGTTTAAACTTACTTGGTTACATACATGGCTAATGTACATTTGTTTTCTAAAATACACATTGTTCATAGAATTTTAAGATTTTGAAACTGGTTAATACAGATATTCTGTCCTAAGTCACAAATCAGTTTCTAGGCAATGGAGATTTGTCCAGGTTTTTTCCCTTTTAGCTAGTATTTTCAGATAAATATGTAACAAGTAGAGCTTAAAGAAGCTTCAAAAGGTCATCTCTCTTATAATCCTTGGTCTGAAGTAATGCTTAAAGACCTTTTAGAGAAGAAATTCCTTTTTAAAGATTTCATCAAGGGCGTATATTAAGTTTGATTTGGACATGTCACACCTTAGATAAACAGTAACTTGTATTTCACAATACACAGAAATCCTGCTTCTTGATTATAGAGATTGCATATGTATGTTTGTGCCTTCTGATTCTTAATCATTTCCTTCTCTCCCTTAAATTGGTCAGTACTTTTTCTTTAGAAAAGAAACAGCAAAACAAAATTGGGTATCCTGTAGCTATCCCCAAGAGTGTTCAACAGTTGACTCAAGAAAATTAGTGACCTACCATATGTAACTGAAACCAGGAAGCCTGCAGGGGAGAGTGGTTCCCCTAAAGATGCCACCTCTGGTCATCTAAGACCACCAGTAATCCCCTAAGAACATAACTGGTTTTTTCCTTTCTCTGTAATCTCATATGCTTGATTGGCCTGAGTATATCAGAAATGTACAGCAAAGGAACTAAACTGTTAAATGGATACAGCATATTTTGCATAAATCAAGTTTAAGATGAATCTACAGTTCTACTAAGTGCAAATGGCTCTGTATATATTTGTACCAGTAGTTGGTAATCAGTCATCTGAACTTCACAGTGGATATTGTTTTTATTTCTAGGTGTGCCAAAGAATCGGCACATAAGGACTTTAAAAAGGCAGTTGGTGCCTTTTCTGTAACTTATGATGCAGAAAACTATCAGCTTGTCATTTTGGTGAGTGTGTTTGAGTTGTCTATTTTTGATGTATTTCATTTAGGGCATTTGCTTTGATAATAATGATGTTGATTTATATCCTTTAGTCTATCAATGAAGTCACCTCAAAGCGTGCACACATGCTGATTGACATGCACTTTCGGAGTCTGCGCACTAAGCTGTCTCTGATACTGAGAAATGAGGAAGCCAGTAAGCAGCTAGAGGTGTGTGGCTTTGCCTAGGGATGGTTGTAAGATTATCTAGAAATAACTGTGTGTTTACAAAACTTGAATATGGGCAGCTTGTCCTTTATTTATTGTTTCTTAGCAATTCCTTATATTCTATATTTTGAAAAATGAAATTGTACAGTGCATAATCGTACTAAAATTTTTATGCCTGAGGTTTCAGAATTAAGCAGCAGTTTATGTATGCTAAGGAACTTCTGGCCAACTCACTTTTTACTAGAAGTTCATCAAAGCTGCTAATAAAATGAAGCAATGCTTCTTCCATATAACATGTTATCATTAAAGTACTAGAGAGTATTTAAATATCTAATCATATTCCTTTCATTATGTATGTTTATCTCTGTTTAAAAGGGTATAGAACTTCTTCATTCTAATTGGTTGTCACTCTTTAAAACTCCTGTCTTCAGATTCCTGCCAGAGGCTATTTCCCTAACTTACTATTTCGTCTCTTAAGGTGCATTTTATCTACTTTTATTAATCCTCCAATAATTTCCATCACCATACATTTATTTTCATTGATAACTATTTAGTACTTCCATCCATTACCATAGAAACTAAATGGATCTTAGTTTAATGTGCCAACTGAAGTATATTATTGTCAGATTCCAGAGTTCCTCATCATTATTCATTTCGTTAGAGGGAAAACACCATGCAGTTGAAATAGTAAAGAAAAAAAGGAGTTCCAAACTGCATTTTAAGAGAGAAGGTGACTACTACTAAAGGCTGTATTCTTGTAAAACCCTGTGAAACGTGCCACCTTCCAATTTAATATGTGATCGCTGAACTCTCAGCAGGAGAGGAGACATTCATATCTCCTTTTGCTACTTTGTTTTCCTTACGGCCATATGGAGGTCTATTTAATTGGTTTTTACTCTCATTCTTTCTTGATGTCCCTGTGTTCACAAGTTTGTGGTTTCTTTAGTGATTCTCTCATAGCTTTTAGGCCAGAACAGCCTCCTTACTTTCATTGTGAGTATTGTGGAAATATACTCATTTACCTCTTCTTAAACATCTAATTCTTCTTAAATGGTCTGTTATCAAACCTTTGGCTTATCATTTATCAGTGAATTATCAATTGAAAAGAATGAACCAGGTGAATGAACCAGGACTCAAAAAACATGACCTCTTGAAAAGTCCTAGGAATATTTGATACATTTTGTTGCTCTAATCTACAAAAAAGGATTTTATACTTTTTAAATTGTTTATAGTAGTTACACTCATTCATTCAAATTATCAGGTATGTTGAATAATGAGAAACTAGCGTGCATGCCTGTCTTTTCTCACTACTAATATTAAAGAGATCCACATATTCAGATACGAAATTTCCATTTTTCAACATGAGCCACTAATATGTTTGGTTTTCATTAATGGCATGCTAGAACTAAACATTAAATTTTGATAATACTATCTAAAGAGAGTGATTATCCACAAGTTTGAGGTGTCAGTATAACCTAGTTCAGTCATCACTGAATATTTGAAATAATGCATCTTACTTGTGGATCCAGATCACAAGGTCTTACAGACTCTGATCTCATTTTAGGTTGCAGGCACATATGTAAGATAAGCTGTAAATCTTTGATACTCTGTGATCATTCAATTTAATTACTATACCAAAATTTTTATGATTCCTTTACTCAGGTTGGGGGTAGGGGTGGGAGGGTGTCCTTCTAATGTCATCAGTTCATCAGAGGACTATCTAGGCCCACAGTATCTAGTGATAAGTTATGTAAATGGCACTGTTTCTAGAAAAAAAATGTATGCACACACACACACACCAATATCCTTTAATAAAATGAAATGAAACAACATTGTAAAGCAACCATACTCCAATGAAAATGAATTAAAAAAATGAAATGAATACAATTTTCTGTAAAGATGGTATTTAAATTTTTTTTTTTTACTTAATTAATATTGAGTCTGTCAGACCCAGTGAGCTGGTTTTTATTTGGGAACAGTTGATCTGCTTCTTAAGTATTACATTGATGTCATTGGTTAACTAAGGCAGCCTTGCAAATAGGTTTGCAAAAGTTACCTTGGAAAATTGTCAACAAGCCCTTTCCTGTTAACAAAAATATATCAAATGGCATAGACCTTTAGTGACCTAAAAAGTACTTACGCTGTGCGAAATATTTTCTTAAACCTGTTAGTTTCCAAGTGAAACTGATTTATAGGTCCCTGATATACAGGGTCAAGATAATTTACATGGCTGACCTAAATACAGTTGTCTTAATAGTCGATAAATCATACTAATCAGATGTGTGTTTCTCTTCAGAGTTCAAGGCAACTTGCCTCAAGGTTTCACGAACAGTTTATCGTACGAGAAGATCTGATGGGTCTAGCTATTGGTACTCATGGTGCTAATATTCAGCAAGCTAGAAAGGTACCTGGGGTCACAGCTATCGATCTAGATGAAGATACCTGCACATTTCATATTTATGGGGAGGTAAATATTTTACTAAATAGTGTTTTTCTAAAATAAAAAATAGTATTTTAGCTTTCTCATCTTTTGTTGATTTAAATCTTTTCCCCATTTTTATTAGGATCAGGATGCAGTGAAAAAGGCTCGAAGCTTTCTGGAATTTGCTGAAGATGTCATACAAGTTCCAAGGAACTTAGTAGGTGAGTCGGCGATTGCTTTTGACACACACTACAAAAGCAAAAGTTAGGCAAACAGTTTATTTATACCGATAGAATTCCATTTTCACTCACTTGGGGAGTCATTTAGCTGAAGCTTAGTCTTTGAAATAGTCTATTGCTACAGTGTACAAAAAATATTTTGTAAATACAGTCAGAGATTACATTTTCAGAAGGTGTGCAAAAGATACTGCTTTGCTAGTTCAAACCTACTGGTTCCTGGAAGGATAAATTTTGCACAGCCTCTTCACTATATGTATTTATATCTTAAATATGTTTTTTTCAAAATTAATGACATTTGGGGGCTTTTTATAATTTGGAATAGACTGGTATTTGATCTCTCTAATGGGGCTATAAAATGATAGCACTCTTCATTATCTCAGAGTTGAAGATCTGAATATAGGTTACTTAAATCTAATAAGTTCCAAAGCTAGAAGTAATTCCGAATGTCTCTAGGGCTTTCTGCAACGTCAACAGTAATTCTTCATTTTGACTTGAGTTATTTCATGATCATCACCAATCACGAGTACCAGGAAATACATGGGAACTCTTTATCTTTAGTAGAACATATCAACAAAGTGCAGTTTTATCAAGAATACTGCATATGTTTTAAATTTATAAATAAAATTGGGACACACTGCCTATACATTTAAAAAATTTTTAACTTGATATCATGACTGATTATAAAAAGTAATGCATGCCCTTTGAAATGTTTAAAGGAGAAGATAAGGACTTTCTATGCATTTTTTTCACGTACTTTCAGTTCTACTTAGCCTGCTCTTTTTGTCAGCATAGAATTATAAACGTCTTCCTATGCCATTAAAAAACACTTGGAATAGTATTTTTCTCCCAAAGACAATTAGTTTGAAGATGAAGTATAAAATACTAGTGAAATAATGCAGAATTATTTTCTCAACTATATACTACAGACAACTGAAGAGCATGACTATGTAATGTTATTGAGGTAACTTGCACACCAGTTGTGTGTATGGGAAATGTGTGATTAGCACCATCCTGGTTACCTCAGGATAAGTGGGGTTGTGAATGATATTTATTTTCCTCTTATTTACAGTTTGTCAAGCAATTGCATACATTTTATAGTTAGAAAAGTTATTTTAAATTTAGAAATTCTTAGAAAATATAACCATTAGACAGTTTTTTCAAAAATTACTGAATAAAAACTTATGTGTCAGATTCACAAAAGTTCATTTTGGAGATGGCTTGATGATAGGGAAAGGTCTTGGGTGTAGGTGCTGGATCCAGATTTCAGCTCTACTTCACTTTTTGGTTGCTATTTGGCCTTAGGCAACTGACTTAGCCTCCTTGAGTCTACTTTCCTCACCTCTAAAACAAATGTGATCATAGTGTCTACCGTATAGGATTGTGATAATTAAATAGGAAGATATAGATAGATAGTTATAGATAAAGATATAATTACATAAGCTCTGGATATAGTAGGGGACTCTGTAAATGTAGTTCTCTTTCCTTCCCCTATTCAAAACAATTCCAGTTCGGTAGAGCAGAATTATAGTAAGCTGTCAGTTGGGAATTGGAAATAACTATGTAATGTAGAATTGGATTATTTGCTATTAAAAGTAGATTCTACCTGTGGTCTTACCTAAACAGAAGAGGATCCCAGCAGTGACCTTTCACCAGAAAGCCTGATTTTCATTTTGTTCCTACCTAGAAAAATAAGACAGTTCTGTTTTAGAGGCTGTCTCTTCCAGCACTGGGAATGTTGGGAGTTTTCAGAAAGCGTTTTTGTATAAAATTTGGCAAGGCAGATCTATAGGGAGATGTCTAATAAGTATTGTATGAGTTTTCAAGTCCCACAATATGACTTATGATCTCTCTTATTTCCCACAAACTCTCTTTGGTACGTACACTGATTTATCTTTCTTTTCTAAAAATTTGCTTGTTTTTCACCCACTTTGACAGTGAATTGGTCTAATAAGTGTTATAGACATAAAGAAAAAAACCATGGGAAGACTCTCTCCTCCCTCCACCCCTTTTCATTTGAAGGGAAGAAGAGCTGAAATAATTGACAGAAAGACCTAACTCAGGAGTCCTGATTTAGTGGTGTCAGTTCTTTTCCCTGACCACTGACCAGTCATGCAGGTTATGACCAGTCAAAAGAGGTTATGGGGGTGAGTGAGGCTGGCACACACAGCAAGAGTGCCAAGGCTATGCTGATTAGAAGAACCACAAGGTTGTGCTTTGACAGGGCTTTCCCTGCATTCTTATTTAGGATTGGCTCAGCAAATTTTCGATTCCAGTTTTTTCCCCATCCCTACCTCAGGTGAAATGGTGGGGCAAGCACATGATGGGCGTGGCCAGTGCTGGGTGCTTTAAGAACCTTGGGAGAGCCCTTGGAATCAGATGTAATTCACATGTAGATTTCTAGAATCAGTTGTTCTTAATATTTGTAATGTCTTGCTTTACACTAATGCGTGATGATGGCTGTGAAAGCAGTCATTTCCCAGTTAAGTATATGATTAAATTTTATAAAATGAGAGAGAATCGAGTGCCGATTCATTACTGGTATTTGAAGTCTTTGGAGTTTTAACAGATGATACTGATAAAACTTAATCTTGAATTGGTTTTAAGCTTTTCCATTGTGGTTTTAAGTTAAAAGTGTGATTTCTTAATCTTTTACTCTGACTAATCCCTTTACCTTCTAACATACTAATATAATTTGTGAGTAATGCACAAGAGTAGTAGTCCACTGACACATTGGCCTGAAGAATGTGTACTTTTAGATGTACTTATAGCTGCCTAAGCCACTTTTAAACTTAGAGTACCTTTTATACATATGCCATATAAAATTCTAAAAATATTTGCCATGGGCAAAGAAGCAGATTTAAATCAGGTACAGATAGAATTGAAATTGTCAAAGAACGAAGCGAATGTATTTTCTACTATCTGTCCTTTTCCTTAATTCCTTTTATAGAACTTTGCAGAAAGAATGATACACGCCACTATACCTGAACATTTAAAATATGCCCGTTTATGCCAAATAAGAGCCTATCTTTGAACTGCCTTAAAAATTCAAAATTGCCCGTATCAGTTCACAAGTATTATCAGTTCACAAGTATTAATCAACTCTAATACCTGACCAGAGGAGTTTGAACAATGATGACCTCATAAAATGGAAAGCCAGTTTGACTCTGTCTTTTTGAAAAGAGTCTCTGTTTTGGTTTTGAGATAGATAGACAGACAGACAGATACGGAGGAAGAAAGAAAGAAAGAACTGAAATTATATGAAATTTTATACGTATATATAAAATGTGATCGTTTATGGTGGGGTGTGCTTACTGGTTTGAGGTATGTGTTTTTAAAACCAAACATGAATTATTCATTTCTTACCTTAGGCAAAGTAATAGGAAAAAATGGAAAACTGATTCAGGAGATTGTGGACAAGTCAGGAGTTGTGAGGGTGAGAATTGAAGCTGAAAATGAGAAAAATGCTCCACAAGAAGAGGTATGTTTCTAGTGCGTATGTTTCTGGTTTCTCTAATAAAAGTAAAAGTCTTTTATTGTCTTATTTGACATAGTAACTTAGAGGCCTCCGATATGCACATAATGTGAATGTAAAAAGTCTATCAGGCATTCCAGTTAATTGCAGTTGTAGATAACGGCCTCTGTTTATTCTCTAATGCTGTGATTGTGGATTAGTAACTTTAACCCCTTTAAGCCTTATTTCTTGATCTTCAACATGAGTAATCACAAATGTAAAAAAAAAGTCTGAAGCACTCTTCACATATTACTTAATGTTCCTGACAGAGACAAAATTGGGACACTAGTTAGGTCTTCTGGCTTTCATCCTTTGGCTTTTTTACTTTGTGTGTCTGCTTATTTTGTGTGCTTTACATTTTTTAAAGTATTTGGGGCGGGGGGGGGGTAAGGGCGTGCTCTTCTGTACAATGGTACTGTTTAAAATAAAATCCTTTCAAATTGCCATAATTTTCATATATTCCATAGTCTTTTGTCAAGGTTCTTTTAGCTGAAGTTAAATCTTTGTGCGTTTTTACTGCATAATGTTTGCGTTCTGTACGTTTTTTTACCAAGACTGTTTATAATAGCTTCTGTTCTTAAAAATATGATCATTGATACAATAATGGAGCTAAATAAAGTCTTAGAAATTGGTCCTTTTTTTTTCTCTTTTGTGTTTTTCACCAAGGAAATTATGCCACCAAATTCCCTACCTTCCAGTAACTCAAGGGTTGGACCTACTCCTTCAGAAGAAAAAAAGCATATAGATGTAAAGGAAAACAGCACTCATTTTTCTCAGCCTAACAGCACAAAAGTCCAGAGGGTAAGAAATAATGGTCACTTTGAATTATACTAAAAGTAATTTCTTCAGCCCAAATGTTACAGTTGGTGTTTTGGGTATTTTCTGTGGTTAGGCTCATAAGGCTACTCATGCTATATTTGTTTCAAATCTGATTGCCAGCTTATGAGATATTACAAACCAAAGTGATAACTACTTTTCAGTTTATTCACAGTGACAAATCTTATGCTGTAAACATAAAATACAGGGTTGCATTCAGTGGTCACATTTTTCTTTTGAGGGTGGACTTTTATTTTTTCATGCTGTAGCTCTTGAAATTTTACAGGTTGTAGTAGCTCAAAATGTACCCTCTGTTAGATGCATAAGTTACTACTTAAAACCATATTTTTAAAACTGACTTTCAATATTTGAACTAACCTAATTGTTTAGAAATGGATTTAGAAGTCCTGCAGTGAAAGTCCTGCGTTCAGGCTTCTGTGTATCGTTTGTTATAGTTAATGACATCACTTGCATTCCTTATACTGCTTTAGGTGTTAGTGGTTTCATCAATTGTAGCAGGGGAATCCCAGAAACCTGAACTCAAGGCTTGGCAGGTAGGAAAACATTCCTTGAAAAATACATTTTAATTTTATATTTTAATGTTTATTCCCCTGGTTAAGAAAGACTACAAATGATCGTCAGAGTTGGGGGATGTGGAGGAGTGTCTGTGGGTTCGTGGACCCATTGTCCTGGGAAAAAGCTCATATTCCTTCCTGTTGCTTATAATAAGGGCCTTTCTTTCACAGTCCCCTGACCAATATCATCTCTTACCACTCCTCTCCCTTGTACTTGAGAGAGGCTTGAGCCATACCTGAAGTACCTAGAGTTCTTGAAACACTACTCTGCTCTCTGTTGCTTCTAGACGTATGCACATGTTTCCTCTGCCTGGAGCACTCTTTTTCCTCCAACCTGCCACCTTGCTTTGACCTTACTCCTTGTGCAGCTTTCCTTGTATACTTTCCATAGGTCCCCTCCCCCTGACGGGCTCAAGAGCCTTTCCCCCTTTCATGCTCCTGATGTGTTCGCCCCTATCGTAGCACTTACTACATAGATATTTACTAGTTATCTAGTCACACTGTTAGTTCCTTGAGGGCAGACACCCGCCCTCAACCTGGCCTGTGAGAACTGTTTATGGGGAGAATATTATGACTCACAAGAGATTAAAAGCAAAAATGCCATTTTGTAAAAAGAAATATAACCGCAAGTAGATTGGATATTCCTCTCTGCTGGGCAGGCCAGTTCTCATCCCAGAACAGAAAATCACTTTTTCCTGGTGTCTGCTCTTGCCTTTCTTTGTTGTAATTTAACCATTGTGGTCCACTAGTAATGTGCTTAAATTAGAGGGGCACTTGGGTACATCAACAGTTTGGAAATGTTGAAAGAGAATTTTTTTTCATTATTTGCTCCACAGTTGATCAACTAAATCTGTGACATAGGATTTTCAAGCTTATTTTGGTCATATGTGATCCAGGGGGAAGGGCGTAGCATTTCATCATAGGGCATTTTGGAAAATAATATGGTTAACTGCTTTGTAACAAAGTTGGGGAAAAAACTCAACCGTCAGAAATGTTTTTGAGAAAAAAAGATCTGAGTCATAGACCTGATTGTTTCCATAGTTCATATATTATTCAATCAAAAAAAAATCCATATGAAGCCCATGGGTTTTCAATGGCACCTGATTCATTAGGTGGTTGTTGTTACTAGGAAGCAGTGCCTTGCTTACCAGATGGATGTCAGTCTGCAAGCAGTATTTCCTAATTGTTTAGTTTTGTACCCTATCAACAGCCATGTTCATGTGGAAGGAAAAAGAAAAAACCTATTTCAACCCCACATGCATGTAAGACTCTGTGTACTGAGCGCAAGCAAACAAAAGCAGCCCAGCGGTACCCACACCTATCAAATGAATGCTTTTTTTTTTTTTTTTATGCGGTACGCGGGCCTCTCACCGCCGCGACCTCTCCCGTCGCGGAACACAGGCTCTGGACACGCAGGCGCAGCAGCCACGGCTCACGGGCCCAGCCGCTCCGCGGCATGCGGGACCCTCCCGGACCGGGGCACGAACCCGCGTCCCCCGCATCGGCAGGCAGACTCTCAACCACTGGGCCACCAGGGAAGCCCTGAATGCTCTTTTTAAAAGGGTGATACTTGTAAGCTTCTTGGCTTCTCACACCTAGAAACTTCACCTAGAGAATTCTAATGTATCTACATCAAAGCTCCTGTGTGCTTTTCTTTAGTCACTTGTGAATATCAGTAACCATGTGAATTTCATCAGTAGCCGAATATTGAATTATTCTTAACTTTGAATGTCATAATTGCCAGCTATTAGTTTGCACAACTGGCCTAGGCTTCCCTATAACTTTGACAAGAAATAGTTTTTTTCTCATTTGTACTGATGGGCTAGAAGTATACATTTTTAGTCTACTCCTTTTTTAAAATCTATCCTTATAATAAAGTAGTACCATAGATCAAACTTTCCTGATGATTCAGTCCTTTACTATGTTCAGAGCGCATTATGGAAGTATATTGAAATGCTAAATTTTATGCTTATGGATGTGCCTAGTTTTTTTCCCCCCCACAGAATAATTACTAAGTGCATTTTAATTTCTTATTCTTCTTGTTTGTGTTTTGTTTGTACTCTGTTGACTCGGCTAGCAAAGTTGATTTAGTTTCTACTTTTGTACCCTGGTATCTAATTTTGAATTATTTTTTAAAGAATTTGATCTAGATAAAATCTGTAGTAAATGAATTAGAGTATTTTAAAGTATTCGTTTTGTTTATGCTTCTCATGTTAAAGCTTATAATTTTGAGTTACATAATTTATGAGTTTACCAACATTTATTAGTAGTGTTTATATCATAGTAACCTGATGCATTTAAGGGTTGCTATACTGATCTGTCCTTATACACAGTAGGTGGGTAAAATATACCAACTACTTTTGTTTTTGAGTATTGGTTTATATTTTCAACAAACTTTCATGTACTTATTGTTTGTCAGACCCTGTGCTAGGGATTTAGTCATTATTTGCATTTTTCAGATTAATTCACCATTAATTTTATAGGATTATTGTTGCCATTTCTTTTTCAGGGTATGGTACCATTTGTTTTTGTGGGAACAAAAGACAGCATCGCTAATGCCACTGTTCTTCTGGATTATCACCTGAACTATTTAAAGGTGAGGACAGGAAGAACTTTAACGTTGAAACCTTTTGCACTAAAATATAAAAACTCCATAGTAAGTCTTAAAGCAATTTTCACACTAGCCTGTACATGATAATCAAAGACCTGTAAAAGATAATAGAAAAAAATGTTCATTTCGTTTAGCTTATTATATTCCTTCTGAAAACACAAGTCAGTTTTCCATCATTATAAAATTAAGGACCAGTATCCCAGTTCTCAAGAAACTCCCCTATTTCCCATTATTCTTCTGTTAAACCCTTATACTCACTTTAGACAATCCTGTCAAAAATACATTTCATCCCATTGATCCTTTCTAGCCCTTGTGAGTTTTTTCCAGGACAAATTTCGTGTCTGTAACACTTGCCTTTGTTGTCCCTTTTATGTCATTTATCAAGGAAATCCCAGAGTTTCATGAAGTCCTCTGTTTAAATGTTTACCCTTTGTAATTTTCTCTATACTCTGTTATTACAAAATAGAAACAATTTGTGTTGTTTTATAAATGCACATTTTAGTTATTATTTGTACGGTTATGCCTCCTCTAGCTTACAAACTGGAAAGCAGGAACCAGGAGGCTGCAAGGCGTAGCAGAAAGAGCACTGGATTGGCAATCCAGTGATTTGCTTGTGGTCTCTCTTCTGCCATGAACTAGCTCTGTGTCTATAGGCAAATCACCTCCCTAGACTAGGTGCTTTTTAAAATTTCTTTTGGCCAAATGTTCTGTAATTTGATAAAATAGAATTTCACCCATGTCACTTTTATAATTTCTTCTTTGTATCCATATGTATCAAAAATATATTGTAACTGGTACTAAATAGTATTTTTAAAGCAATCCAAGTTTCTATTTTATTTATGATGCTATCTTAATAAGAATTTTTTTGCTGATTTCTTAAAGAAATAAAATTAAATAATTTATAGTTATATGTAAACAAGGAAGAAAAATAGGCACTTCTTATCATTCTTATGGTGGTCAGTTAATAATTGCAAGTGGGGAGGTTTCATCCAGCAAGGTTTGCATGGATAGGATACCCCATTGATTTGCTTATTCACTTTTGTTTTAAAGTGTGTTTTATGTGTAATCTGTTGTATGTGTTTTTCTTCATATTCTTAGCTTAAATAATTTTGAAGACCTGGAGAGTTAGGGTTGCATTGTATCAGTCCCTTGTTCTTTTGACTAATGTTCTTCCTTAGATCTTTTGATTTATTCTTCACAGTTGAGTATCTTTTTTGGTTATCAGCAGCTGTCCTGTTGTTGCCATTGTTTCCATCACCAGATCTTCCCTCGAGTGGGCTTGGCATCTCTCACCAAAAGGTGACTGCTTTGCCCCAGTGGGATAACCTGGACTACCATTCTGTGCAAGATACACCCATTCCATGAGCTCTAACTGTACTTTTGGAGTAAGCCACTCACTCAGCTGCAGTCTCTTCTTTGTTCAAGTCCTCTGTAAAACAAATTCTGGTTCAGAGCACAGATGAAGCTCATCTAGTTTCTTACCTGCCCTTTTCCTGAGGCTGCCATAACCAAGATTTTAGGAACCTAGCTTTACAGAGGCTTCCCCAGTGACTGTTCATGTGGACGGTCCCTATGACGGCGTCTGCTTGACTGAGACACCCAGTGCTACTCTAGTTGTGGATCCAGTTCCCTATAGCTAGTAAATAGATGCTTATGGGTAGATTGGAAGAAGGGTTAGAATTGAGATTTCATCTGGATTTGACAGAACCCAACATATTGGAAGCATTGTGTGTGAGGGTCTGTTAATGGACCCCAGGTGTATATTTTGATCAACTGACTATACTGTTCGTCATACTTGTTCTAGCAGAGTTGTAGTCTTTAAGAGGTTTTCAAGGCATGATATAAGATATCCAACTTGTTTTTGTCAACTATTAAATAGTTCCCCTATATAAGGAATATAAACATTTTCAGTTCATCGAAGATAATTGTTTCTTAATTGTATAGTCACGTCCAAAGACCTGCCATAGTATATGTTCTTTGAAAGCAGAAGATGGCCCAGACTCATTGTTTTGTTAAGATATTAAGTGGCAAATCTATTTCAATTAAGATTATTTACAATGTGTGATTTTTAAGGTTAGCTGGTTAAACCTTAAATGTCATTTATCTGTATTCATACGTTTTAGAGTTGTTTTATTCAATATCCTATTATCAAGAGGTCCAAAAACTAGCATATTTGTGCCTTAGCAGATCTATCGGATAATAGTGCCAAATTAAATAACTTTAAATTCTATCAGTATAATTTTAATGCTCAGTATTTTTGTTATATCTCTAATTCTGGACATCAATAATATGTTATCTATAGTAAATTTATTTTTAAGGAGACCATTCAATTTCCTGATAATTCTGTGTAACAGTGTTTACTATAAATTTAGAACTGAAATTGAAATATTTCCAGTATACTTTTTATCTGATGAAAAGGAGAAAGGTATTTTTAAGTAAAATGTCAAACTATTTTTACTGTTATCTTGTATATTTTAAATAGGAAGTAGACCAGTTGCGTTTGGAGAGATTACAAATTGATGAGCAATTGCGACAGATTGGAGCTAGTTCTAGACCACCACCAAATCGTACAGATAAGGAAAAAGGCTATGTGACTGATGATGGTCAAGGAATGGGTCGAGGTAGTAGACCTTACAGAAATAGGGGGCACGGCAGACGCGGTCCTGGATATACTTCAGGTACAAACTAAGCATTTTACTCAGTAACTTTATCTGTTCCTAGACTTAATAGCTGCTAATCTCTAATACTCATTAGAACCCCATTATAACAGTTTCTCACTACATGGTTTCCAATTCACAGTGCGTCAAATTGTGTTGCAAGAGACATAGAGTAAAAACCTGATAATAACACATAGAGTTCACAGGGCAGGTGTGAGTCTGTCCACGTTCTGACTGGGGATAAATCTGCTTAAGCCCTTGTACGTTGATGACTTTCCTAAGGCCTTTCCTGATTTTATTACTGTATAGCCAAAACTTTTTTCATTTGTGTACTGTGGCTCATTTTTTGTCAGGCATGTGCTGGTCATACTTGCTGGATGGACTGTGTAAATCAGGGGTCTGCATCCTGTGGCTCGTAAGGTGATTTTGAGTGGCATGGCCAAAGTCAGCCCTAGGCACAGTCAAGAAGTAGGCGAAGCTTCTCTTTGCCTTCTCAGCTCTTCTTTCAGTGCTTCTTTCTTCTCTCCCAGTACCTTTCATTGAACGCTCTCCCACTGCCAGTGCCTACTGTCTTTCTTGCTCAACTGTGTATCTACTATGTAACTTGCTTATGATGGTATAAGGTATAATCCATCTCACAAATATTTGCATTTCAAAAAGGAACTCTTTAAGATGGAAAAGCCTTCAAGATCCACAGGAATGAAGCTATAATGGTGAAGCTATAATTGGTCATTAGCTCCAACAGAGGAAGAGAGAGAGGTAGTAGAGCTGATATTCTGGAGTCGGGGAGAGAGACACCTACTCCTAAGGCCAACCTTGAACCTAACCCCTAATCCCTCTCCCAGCAGTCTGTTCTTTATGCTGTTGAAGTCCCCCGTCACCGTGGAGCTCTTTTCCCCACTCCCATCCCTTATGTCATTAACCCAGCCCTCAGGCATAACAAGTTTATTACAATAAATCCTTTATAATGATCAATTATTCCAGTGGGAGTGGGAGGGAAGGTTGTGGACCAAGCATCAGGCAAGCATATCCCCATTCAGCTAGGTCCAATCCCTTATCACACAAGAGACCCTTCCCTGAGATAGTAGCCATGGTGGCCACCTTTGCCACCCTCTCTGAGGTGACCAAAATGTATGCATTCCCCTCTGTGCCTGGGCCAAACCTTGTTAAAAGGAACCCTCTTTATAGAGGTTTTGTTGATCAAGGTATTGCATTTAACTGTTGTAGACAACTTTTCCTCCAGAGAGCACAGATGTTTAAAGGAGCACAGCTGTTTAATGATGTGGCATACTCAGGTTTGAACTTAGATGGCTAATAAAGTCTTTTATTTTTTTTAATGAGAACCAAAAATGTTTAAAACAAAGATTACCTCAAATATTGTGGAAACCTTCATTTTGAATTTAAGATAATTTGTTTTACAAAATGGAAGGTGATAATACTCTTTGGTGGGCTTATAAATTGGGAAGAGTAATGGATTACCCCTGAAACGTCTCTGGAAGCTTCTGTTAACCTAACTTTTTTTTTAAGTCGGACAACGGTATATAACTTTTAACTCTCGATAGGAACTAATTCTGAAGCATCAAATGCTTCTGAAACAGAATCTGACCACAGAGATGAACTCAGTGATTGGTCATTAGCTCCAACAGAGGAAGAGAGGGAGAACTTCCTGCGCAGAGGAGACGGGCGACGGCGTGGAGGTGGAGGAAGAGGACAGGGAGGAAGAGGACGCGGAGGTGGCTTCAAAGGTACAGAGGTTTTCATTTGTCAAGAAATGAAGGTCAGTTGTAACAGCTGTCTGAAGTTCTGTGAAAAACCTTGCTGATTCAGTGATGTATTACCAAGACCCCCATTTCTCTGGTTTTGTACTGGTCGCCATGGGAAAGGCTCATGCAATTGGCAATATTAGACAGCCTTCCTTTCCCTCTGGTTCACATAGAATAATATATGAATAACACTGATAACTAGTTTCACCTCTTCTGGTATTCTAAACATCACAGTCTGATCATTAGCTCAGGTTGACCTGTAACAGCTGCTGCAGAATTGTGGTGCCTTAGAAATATTTTCTGTTCCTTGGTAGCATGCTAGGTTATTAGCCAGTGTGTAACTGGAATCACTAGGTTGTTGATCCTATGTTAGATTCTGTGGTGGATCTAAATAAATTGAGGATGTGGGAACAAAGAACTTCCAATAAGCATGTCAGAATCAGTGACCATCGAACCTTTTAAAAACGTCCCTATAGGAAACGATGATCACTCCCGAACAGATAATCGTCCACGTAATCCAAGAGAGGCTAAAGGAAGAGCCGCAGATGGATCCCTCCAGGTAAACCTGTGTGCCTCTTTCCATCTAAATTGTTTGAGTTACAGTACTTTGAGATGTATGAGTTTATTTTACTTGATTTTTAAGCATGTTCAAAGGTTGTGAATTTGGTACGTTGAAATATTTTCCTTTCAACACTACATTTGTGGGCAGTCTTAGTCCTTTGCGACAAGTATACAAAGAAGATTTCTCGAGATAATATGCAATCTCAGTATTTCTGAAGACTTTGCAGCCTCAGTGTGACTTCAATACCACATTGGTGGTCCAACCGCCCCCCCACCCCCCCACCAACTGCCCAAGAAAAGAAACATCCAGGAATGAACCAAGAGAGACTTGCGTCGGCCCTGTGGGTCCCTCCTCCCCTGAGTTGCTTGGATAGAGTGTCCTCTTTGAGTGGAAAGTAAGGGAAAAAAGGTGTCTGGCTCAAGGGTAATAATCATGGTACACAGGGCTGATGACACTCAGCTGGTACTTGCTGAATCAGTCAGCTGCTAATATACAGCCAGCCTCTATTCTGAGAACCCCATCTCAAGTGGTAATCACCTGTGCCGAACCCATTGTTAAGTAATTTGGAAATTACCCCTGAGCGTGTCCAGACAGACACCTTTGCTGAGTGCTCTGTGTGTGTTTTATCTTACTTAATCTTTCAGCAGCCCCCTGAAGTGTAAAAAGTTTTATTATTCTGTTTTATAGGTGAGTAAACTGATGTTTAGAAAGATTGAATCACATAGATGGCATACGGTAGAGTGATATTTGAATACTGGTATCTGATTCCCAGAACCCATGTTCTCTTCTGCTTTAATTCTGAAGACTTAATCCAAGTAGTTAGGGTTCCTTCATGCCTATGGATTGGTTTGGAATACCAATACCAATACCCAAGATTAGTGAGAGATGATTTTTAAGGGCAGAAACTCCATGATGGAGTATTTCTTAGAATTCATAGTGGTTGTAAGTAGGTGTTAACCGTTGGCTGGTTCTTAAGGACCAGCATAGAAAAGACCTTAGACGTAGATAGAGATCGATGAAATAATGCACACACATGTGCCTTACAGAGATGTAAGGCATTTATGTACCAGTTTTATAATTCCACTCTTCACAACCCAACAGCTAAAACAGTCACCCAGGACCAACACTTAAACACACTTTGAAATTACAGCAAACCATTTTGGGATTATATGTCACATTTGTACTTGAAGCAGATCAATATTTGTAATTGTTTTAGGCCCATTTGTCAATATTATCTTCCTTTTGTACAGCATCTAGAAGTCTATTTAGCAGTGTTTAAGTGTTCAGTGTTGGCACTTAAAATATTGCATAAATCTCAGAATATTATTTTTTAAATTGTATTCATCTCTACACTCTTCCTGGGATTCCAGTTCTTCCACACATTAGTGTCTTCAAATTTCCCTGTACCATTCTTATTCTTCAGAGTTCAAGTTGTATGATCATCTGACTTGCCTTACTGAAGGCAAGTAAGTAGCCTTGCTGAAGCTACTAGAAACCAACGCTCGTATTTTTTTTATTGTAAGACAGTGAGAGCCCTCAGTGTAAGGAAACTTAATTATACTCATGATAGACATAAAGATGTCAACTAAAGCTTAGAAGAAGACATGGTAGGATTGTGAGTTTTTATCTAACTTTGGACACAGTGAGATGACCAGTGTGTTCCAGTTAAAGAAGAGTGTTTTAAAATGAGAAACCAAATAAAGATCCTACCTGACCATAATTTCTTGCACTTCTTCTATTCTCACCCCCATATCCCCCTTTTAAGATGTGGAATTTACCCTTCGGGCTTAAATTTCTCATCAGGCCAATTACAGATTACAGTAGGATATGGTCTGTGTATATAACAACTGTAACTTGTTTTAGATCAGAGTTGACTGCAATAATGAAAGGAGTGTCCACACTAAAACATTACAGAATACCTCCGGTGAAGGTAACCGGCTGCGTACGGGTAAAGATCGTAACCAGAAGAAGGAAAAGCCAGACAGCGTGGATGGTCAGCAACCACTTGTGAATGGAGTACCCTAAACGGCATAATTCTGGAGTTATATTCCCTATACCATTTCCGTAATTCTTATTCCATATTAGAAACTTTGTTAGGCCAAAGACAAATAGTAGGCAAGGTGGCACAGGGCATGAAATGAACACCAGTTCTGTTAAGAATTTTATTTTTTGTCATATTGGCCATAAGCAACAGTTTTCAGATTTGCACAAAGAAACAGATCTTAAAATTTTGAAACATTACTTTTTTTTTTTTTTTTTTGTGGTACGCGGGCCTCTCACTGTTGTGGCCTCTCCTGTTGCGGGGCACAGGCTCCGGATGCTCAGGCTCAGCGGCCATGGCTCACGGGCCCAGCCGCTCCGTGGCATGTGAGATCTTCCCGGACCGGGGCACGAACCCGTGTCCCCTGCATCGGCAGGCGGACTCTCAACCACTGCGCCACCAGAGAAGCCCCTGAAACATTACTTTTAAGTAATTAAGTATACTTAGCACTTCAGGACAGGATTTTCTTTTGGTTTATTTTTTAAATACCAAGCAGTGGTATTCTTTCTTAATTTGGACCGTTACCCTGCGTTGGGTGATAACTCACTGGTACATTTCAGTTTTTCTGAATAAATAGCATTTATGGTAATCATATTACACTTCTGTTTTCAGTCTCATACGGAAGGCCAATGACATTTCATGTCCTGTGTCAGTTTATGTTTTGGTCCACTTTTCCAGTATTTTAGTGGACCCTGAGATGTGTGTGATGTGACGTTTGTCATTTTCATTAGCAAAAAAAAAGTTGTATGATCTGTGCCTTTTTTATATCTTGGCAGGTAGGAATATTATATTTGGATGCAGAGTTCAGGGAAGATAAGTTGGAAACACTAAATGTTAAAAGATGTAGCAAACCCTGTCAAACATTAGTACTTTATAGAAGAATGCATGCTTTCCATATTTTTTTTTGTTACATAAACATCAGGTTAGGCAGTATAAAGAATAAGACTTGTTTTTGTTTTTGTTTTGTTGCACTGAAGTTTGACAAATAGTGTTATTGAGAGGGATGTGTAATTTTTCTATATAGACAGGAGAAGAAATAACTGTCTTTTCATTTGAGAGAGGCTAAAACATTTTCAGCTAGGAGCAAATCTTCCTGGTCAAAAGTTAGTAGGATATGCCTTCTCTTTGGCCTGATGACCAGTTTTAAATTAGAGCTGTTTTTATTTTGTCCTCCCCATGTTTTGTGAAGTTTTTCATACTTTAATTTCAAGCTTATTTGGGGGAGGTAGGAAGGTCATTTCCATGTGTGCATAATAATCCTGTGAAGTACAGGTACTTTGTCTAAGAAACAATGGAAGCAGGTTAAATGTTTTGTAAACTTTGAAATATTAGGTCCAAATGTATAAGCAGAATTGGAAAGCAGACTAGGATTGGTTAACAAATGATACTTTTTTTCTTTAGTTTTTTGACGTGTTGGATTTTGGGTTTGAGTCTCTCTTTTTTTTTTTTTTTTTTTTTTTTTTTCTTATGAACAAGATTTACAGAGGAAAAATATGTGAAGGACCTTCACTCTAAGATGTTATATTTTTCTTAAAAAATAACTCCAAGTAGGGGTACCACTGAATCTGTACAGAGCCGTACAAACCGAAGTTCTGCCTCTGATGTATTTTGTGGGTTTGTTTCTTTGAATTTTCATTTTACGGTTACTTTTCCTTGCATACAAATAAGCATATAAAAATGGCAACAAACTGCACATGATTTCAAGAATATTAAAAAGTCTTTTAAAAGTATTGCCAAACATTAATGTTGATTTCTAGTTATTTATTCTGGGAATGTATAGTATTTGAAAACAGAAATTGGTACCTTGCACACATCATCTGTAAGCTGTTTGGTTTAAAATACTGTAGATAATTAACCAAGGTAGAATGACCTTGTAATGTAACTGCTCTTGGGCAATATTCTCTGTACATATTAGCAACAACAGATTGGATTTTATGTTGACATTTGTTTGGTTATAGTGCAATATATTTTGTATGCAAGCAGTTTCAATAAAGTTTGATCTTCCTCTGCTAAATTGACGTTGATGCAATCCTTACAAATGATTGCTTTTAAAATTTTAAGATAGGAAAAGAAATCTATAAAGCATTCTGTTACAAAATGTAACTGTATTACCATTGGAAATTTCACATGTCATAGGAAGTTAGCCGTTATCTACCAACTTTCAAGAACTTGATCTTGTTTAATAAGGTGAAAAAAGTCAACAAAATGGTACAAAAGCACATTGTGCCATTACAATATGCACTAAGTCTCTTTTTTACAAAGGCTGAATTCAGCAAGGCGCTAACTTGCTTAAATGTGAATTACTAACTTCTAAAACTGTAATTTGAGTCACATGTTTTCAAACGGAGTTGGAGTTTATTCATATTACAATATTTGTGTGCTAAACGTGTATGTTTTTCAGTTCAAAGTCATGATGTTTTTAAAATCTTATTAAAGTTTCAAAAATCTGAAGATTGTTTATCTAGATGTAAATTTTTATTAAAAAGTTGCACTTATGAAAAAGCAAAAAATTAGTCTGACAGATGTTTGCTCCTGGTCTTAAATTTCTAAATATAACAAAAATTAACGATGGGGGGAGGTATTAATCATGCAAAGCATACATTATGCCTTGCAAATAATCTTTTATGTGCCCTTAAAAAGCAGAAAAGTAGATACTTGAAAATAATTCTACATATCCCCAGTTAGAGAATTTGAACACATTAATTACATAGGATGCTACTAAATCGTGTTAAACACATACTCCTGTCTGAGCACACATAAACTTACCTTGCCATTTGGAAAATATTAAATATGTCTATTTTGAAAAATAGCAGCCATCCTCAAGTAACTTTGTTGGGTTTTCCTGGTTTCGCATTTCAGTGCTTGCTACACGTGAACAACCTATCGGTGGCAGCAGGCTTGAGACTCAACTTGGCTCACTCAGAGGCATTTCTCCCATCTGACCATGATCTTCCCGTTCCTGGTGGTTAGGAATATAGTGCCTTTTAGAGTCAATATACCGATTTGATCACTTTTGAGCCAGTTTGGTTCATGGCCATAAATAGCATCTTTCCCTCATGACCCTCTGATGCCTCTGATAAGCAGTTATTCTGAAATAGCCATTACCAGATGCTAGTCTTGATTGCTCAGAAGGCTTAATGTGTACCAGTATTTAAATTTTGATCGTCTTTCCCTCTGTGGGTTTATCTAGGGCTGTTTAAAAATTTTATTGGGGGCTATTTAGAGATTTACTTTCCATTTCTCTCAGAACTTTCCATGAAGAAACGGGGAAATCTGTATTTTATGCTGATGAGTTCTATGTTAATGGGAGAGACATTAAAAGTCTTTGCAAGTTGCACTTGCTAAATGATTAAAGATAGGCTTCAAAACTAAGTGCCTAAAGGTCTTCCCACCAATTTCTGTATACCATACGCTTGATTACAGGTCCAAAACTGGAAGGAAGATGTAAGTGTCAACAAAAGATGGTTACATGCAATCCTGAGAACCTGGGGTATATCATCATTATTCAGTATCATACAGAAAATAGATGGTTTATGGTAAGAGGAGAAAAAAAATTCCAGTGTTATTTTTGGTAAATACTAAGGCATCTTTGTCAGATTTCCTTGGAGATCAGAACCTGTAAGGTATTACATCAAAGAACAGAGTACTAGTGCTCAAGGAATATATATCATTAAAAGTTGCAAGTGCAGCATGGATACTACGTGATAAAAAGGAACCTAAGGAATTATGCTGTGAAGAGGGAGGAATCAGGAGGTAGATCCCACACTTGACCGGGCCGTAGACTAGCTCGGTGGTTGCTGGAAGAGTCATGTCACCTCTCCAGGTTCCAGTTTCTTCATGGGTTAAATAAGTGGTCGCTAAGGTATCCTAACTCCAAAGTCGTATATGCATTAAGAAGGTATTCATGTTTTATATGGAGAAAACTACAGAGTAATTGTTAACGAAGCACCCACCTGATTTCATCTGGTTCTCATTAAATATTTAGTGAACATTCACTATATAGCAGGCACTTCACAGGCTTCTTGGGGATACAGAGATAATATTTCAGGCCTTCAAGAAGCTCAGTGTCGAGTGGGATAGCTCAGTGAGTCAGTGGGCAGTTCCAGCACATGGTACAGTAAGTACTAAGATGCACAGGGTGAGGTGGGAGCACATAGAAACAACCCAAATCGGGGTGGCGAGGAGTCAGTAAAGGGCTTCTCGGGTAAAGTGAAATCTTATCTAAGACGGAGGACAGGTTGGAGAGGTTAGCCAGGATAAAAAGGGCTGGGACCATTGATCTAAGCATGAAAAAGTCAGCTTGGGAAGCTTCCCGAAGCTTCAGTGTGGCTAGGCCACGGAATTTGAGGTAGAGAGAGAGAGAGGTGAGACGAGAGATACGGCCAAGGAAGGCCTACGTGCCATGTTAGAGGTTTGGCTTTTGGGCGCCTTTGAAGGGTTTTAAACGAGATCAGATTTACACTTGAAGAGTGTGGAGGGACAGGCAGCATTGCCCACCACTCCAGGAGCCTCTGTCAGGTCGCCTGGAACCACCTAGCAGGAGGGACTGGGCCCACATCCAACTTCCTGGATGTTCCTCTGCCCCACAGTCCAAATCCAGCTTCCCAAAGGTCACAGGTGCTAGCAGGCTGTGTTCCCAGACAGCTCCCCTGACAGCTGGCATTTGAGCCCTGGTTTGATCCTCTGCCTGCAAGGCCACCACCATCAGCGTTGCCCTGTGGAAAGGTAGACTCCCAGGGAAGATACACCTTCCCCTGGAGCCCAGCCCCAGGGATGCAGGACGCGGGGGGCCCGGCCTTTGCATGTGTCTCTGCGGGAGAGAATGGGCATCCACGTGCCTCTTCTTCCTGACCCTTACTGGTAATTTTCCCTCATTAAAACCTTCCCCTCTTGCATGCTGGTGTGCTGTTTGCCTTCACCCACCGAGTCACCCAGATCGTGCCCCACATGAGTGCCCCACATGAGGCAAACTCCACTTATTCCAGCTCTGGCCTTTGGGAAACTGCAAAAGGGATCAACTAAGCCATACGAGGGCTGCACAACACCCCTCCTAGGGCTAGTGGTGGGAGGCCTAGCTGAGCTGAAATCACTGGTGAACATGTTGTTTCGGCCTTGGTCTAGGGCCATACCATGTGCCACAGAGGCTCTGGAAAGTCCTCCATGTGAGGCAGATAGAGACTCTTCCATCCCTTGGCCCTCCCTACAAGTTAGTCAGCCCT